AATAATGTGTGTTTGTATTTGTGTGTTTAGGCATATATATTTATTCCAACATGTTTGGTATCTTCCCACTCAATCAAAGGACATATCACAGAGCTTGACATTCAATGAATTCCACCTACCATCCATTTATTTAGACACTCGCCAGCCCGACAAACAATCCACATCATTTACCCATTCTAAATATCGGTCTTGCAATGCTGTTTTGCTATGTAAACCAAATGCAATTATTTTATTTTGTATTTTTTTTCATTTGTTTCTTTTTGTACTTTTTTCTATTTTGTGTGCTGATATTTTTTTCTTTTTCTATGTCTATATCTTATGTACACATATACTACTATTATTATATCAGTTAGAACAGTGGAGGATATTTATCAATATTAGAAATAGTATTTTTAATTGAAGGATGTTTGTGAAGAAATCGTAATACCACATGAAAATAGGCGTTGTCGTTATATAAGGGAAATATAGAACCACGCCCAACATAGATCCTTGACATTGAAAAAATACTGGCAATATAAATATAGAAATAATAGAAATAACGTCGTTTAAAAATACTTTTTGGAAATTTGACCTAGTATCGTTCGTAGAATGCTAGATTAAGATTATCGCTTAGGTCTGACCATATTTGAGCGGAGTTCCCCATATAAAAATGCCTTCTGAGTCTCGGATTGTTTAAATTTTAAAAAACAATTTTCAAATCTAATTAATTACGCTGTGCTACAAAAATTAATTGTTTTCAACAATAAATAATAAAGGCATTCTAAAAAATTTTTTGTCATAAAATTCTATTATAAGTCCTAGAAGACATTAAAAGTCTAAATCTTACCTAAACGTCAGGAGATCATATATATTAAAAATACCTTTTAGGGTTAATCTCAGAATATACCATATATCTGGGTACACTACTTTTTATGAAAATTACATTCAATTTTTTTTATTTAAAGTGAAAATTATGTGTTTTTTATTGTTTATTAAACACATACCCAATCCTATTCAAAAGATCGCTTTATACTTCATTTTTAGAGAATATGTCTAAGGAAGAATTATTTTAGATCAAATTTCATTGCGAGTCTTTGAACAAAAGAAATTTGTATTTTCAATATGAACCATGAAAAATATTATTCATTTTTACTAATAAAAACCTTGTTTATTTTGAAAAATATGGCTAAAATCACCAAATAACAAATGAACCAATTCCAGCAGTCTTCTGTCGTAGAAGGCATAACCCATTACAAAATCTACATAACGAATTGTAAACAATTCCCCTAAAAATGTGGTTAAAATCATCAGAATACCAAATGTAGTGAAGAAAAATCTATAAACCGAATTTTAAACAATTCGTATAAATTCCTAAAACACCGGATATCGGGAGGTACAGTTATATGGGGGCTCTAAGAAAACGTGGAGCCATAAAGACAATTTTTTTCTGCAGGAGATAGTGCATATTACAAACTCTATGTACCGGATTCAATAATGTTTGTAAAATGTGATCTAAATCGTTAAAATGCGGAATATCAGGAGTTTCTGTTACATGAGGGGCTATACGGAAATGTGGGCCAGGGCCTCAATTCTTGTTATATGAAAATGTGAAATGAAAACTTTTTTAAAGGAAAGAAATGTCAAATGAAAAATTTTATAAAGGAAATATAATTCATTTCATATTTTCATAGAACAAGAATCCAATCCCAGGCCCAATTACGAACTTAACCTGCCTACAGACAAGACACACATGTGTGCAAAATTTTGGACAAAATACACATGCGTGCAAAATTTCGGCCTTCTATTTCAATTCGTTCGGAAGTCACACAGGCAGACACAGAGAGACAGACAAACGGACATCACTAAACCCACTTAGTATTTTACGCTGATTTGTTATTCCGTTTGTAACTCTATATATATACTTCGTTGGGTCCAGCATAAGTATTTTGGGGAGTTACAAATGGAATAACAAAGTTAATATACCATCCACAGTATGGTAGAGGGTATAAACAAGTAAAAAGCAGCTAAATTCGGCTTTTAATACCCTCTACAATTTTCCAGGATCTTGGATAATTAAAGAAAAAATAAGTCGGAAAACACCACTTAAATGAAAACCGTTATATGTGGGATCTACGAAGACGTGGACGTGCATAGAAAATTTTCTGCATTAGTTGTAGTACTCATTGCGAGCTTCAAACTTTTGATAAAATAATCAAAATACCAAAAGTCGGGGTTACCATTATATAGGGGCTATACAGTATCGTGGACAATTCTCTTCCAGGGGGTAGAATACTCAGAAGGAACTCCTTGTGTGGATTTTCAGACAATCATCAAAATACCGAATATCGGGGGTACCGTTATATGGATGCTATACGATATCATGGACCTATATACTCAAATCTCTTCCAGGGCTAAAGGTACTCCTTGAGACAATTCTATTGGCTATAATCATCAAAATACCGAATATCTGAATGTACCGTTATATGGGGGATATACGATATCGTGAACATCTATAGACAATTCTCTTACAGTCGGTAAAGTACCTGCAAAGAAGTCCTTGTGTAGAATTTCAAACAATTCCATTAAAAAATGTGCTCAAAATCATCAAAATAGCGAATATCGGGGGTTACCGTTAAATGGGGGCCATACGATATCGTGGACCGATATAGACCATCTTCGAACTTGACTTGCCGGAACACAAAAGACTGATCTATGAAATTGTAGATCAGTATTTTTGAAATTGGCTCCAGCGTGATTACAACAGACGGACATACGGAGGGACAGGGATAATCGTCTTAGAATTCTAAGTATATATACTCTGATCGAGAATATATATACTTTGGTCTTAGGTCTAAATTTATTATTTCGATCAGTTACAAACGGAATGGCGAACTTAATGTATCTCCGTATGGAGGATATAAAAATAGTAACCTCGAAGCCAACTTCGAATTCGCAGATGTATTATTTTTAAAGAGTGACAGCTAGTTTTGAAATTGGTATCGTGTTTTGTACCCGTACGTTCAAGATGGTATAATTGGTTTGTTTTTAACTTATTGACAAGAAAGTACTGAGTATAGAAATTGAATGATATACTGATGTTGAAGGACTCTGATCTAGTTTCGGGATTTCTTCTAGTTTTAAACAGTTCACGCAAAGCAAAAACAAGTTAAAAAGCAGTAAGTTCGGCCGGGCCGAACTTTGAATACCCTCCACCATTTGGAACGAATTTGGAAATAAAATCCTGAAAATATGTTGATAACATTTTAAAAATACCGAATATTGCCGTTATATTGGTGCCTATACGACGTGGACCCACACAGGCATTATTTGTCATGAGTCATTACCAGATTCAAATTCGGAACTTGAAATAAACGCGAATAATGTAGCTAAAAACATCAAAGTATAGAATATAGGGAGGTAACGTTATATCGGAGCTGTGCGAAGACCTGAACCTGCGTAGACAATTTTTTGTCATATTCTGTAGCACCCATTATGAACTTCAAATACGACATTTCAAACAACTTCGGTGAGTATTGTACCTAAAATCGTCAAAATACCGAATATAGGGAGGTACTGGTATATGGGGCCTATACGAAAACCTGGACCTGCTTAGACAATTTTCTGTCACAGACTGGAGTTTCCATTACGAACTCTAAATACTAAATTTGAAACTATTCCGGTGAATAATGTCGCTAAAATCATCGAAATACCGAATATCGGGAGGTACCGTTATATGGGGGCTATACGAAGACGTGGACCTGCACAGACAATTTTCTGTCTTAGGCTGTAGTATCCATTTCGAACTTCAAATACCAAATTTGAAACAATTCCGGTGAATAATGTCGCTAAAATCATCAAAATACCGAATATCGTTAGGTACAGTTATATGGGGGCTATATGAAAACGTGGACCTACATGGCCCATTTACGAACTTAACCTGCCTACTGTAAAAATAAACCTGTGTGCAAAATTTTAGCCTTGTATCTCAATTCGTTCTAAAGATAGCGTGGTTACAACAGACAGACAGACGGACAGACAGACAGACGGACAGACAGACGGACAGACAGACAGACAGACATCGCTAAATCGACTTAGAATTTTACGCTGATCAAGAATATATATACTTTGTTGTGTCTGATATGAGTATTTCGAGGAGTTACAAACGGAATGACAAAGTTAATATACCCTCCATAGTATGGTGGAGGGTATAAAAAAGGGAACACAGCAAGAGTTGTATCTGATAATAGAAAACAAAACAAATGTGAACCAATCCTTCGAAGTCGATATATTATTCATTCAGATGCAGTCGTTCTGCCAATTTTTTCTAGTAAAAAGTATTAAAAGAGAACGTTGTATATAAGTAGTCTCTTTCATTTGTCAGCAAGTTTTGCTACCTCTTCGGTTAAGGAAACTGTTTTTTTTTTTTTAACAATAATTTACAAAAATATAAAATGATCTTGGCACGTAAAGGATTAAATCATATAACATCAAAATTGCAAATTAAAATTATAAATAACAAACTATGAAATTTCCTCCACTGTAATTTTAGTACACACCTCTCTTAAATAATTATTTAGTTTAAAACGATATTTTTTTCAAAGCAAATTGTATATTCTGTTATAAACTTATTTTTGTTAGTGAAAAAAAAAATCCTTTAAAAAGAAGACAAAGAAGAAACAACTTCACCTTCAAACCTTCTATTGTTAGAGGCGATGTTGCTGTCACTGCAAAATTCTTTCTGTAAAAGTCAGTTTTTTTTTTTTGCAACGTCAGACAACATCATTAATAACAATAGCAGCTACAAATAGAAAAGAGAAAAAAAAAAAAACAGTAAAAAAACCTCAAATTAGAATACTCGTTTTATTTGTTGTATCGAAAAATAGCTAAAGCAGAGAAATGATAGAGAATGGCAACCACCACCAACACTTGTTGGTGTTCGCCTTAGTTGGTGCTGACAACAATGACGTTGATAGCTGTAATGATTCCATTCGATTTTAACTTTTGTCTCATTTCCGTTCCAGATTGTTCGTGTGCACGTAAATTACCGACGGGTCTTCAAACGGACGCAGAGAATGTAACTGAACCCTTTAATCCGATTGCGACGAATGGTGAACCGTTTCCATGGCTGAATTTAACCTTACCCACCTACGCTCGACCAATGCGTTACATGGTGACAATCCATCCGAATCTAACGACGTTAGATGTTAAAGGTATGTACATATGTGTATTTTGTGTGAGGTATTTCATAAACATATTAGGGTGGAACACACGATGAATCATAATACAATTGTACCCATAATGAAACCTACATATGTTGAAAACGCTCCTAGTTTCTTAGGGTTGGCGTAAGGGGCATACGATAAGTGGTTTTATCCGCATATTTTTTTAACATTCTTACTGAATTCTTTAATATTACAAATAAAAAAACTACAACATAGTCAAACGCCATAATTTTTATGTTTTTTTTTTCAATTTTATTAAATGAAAATTTCGGAAATATCATCAAATTTTAGAATAATTTTAGATTCAATCTGGCAACGAAACCGTCACACGCTGCCCGAATGTTGCTTTGCGGTATTTTGGTCAATTCCTGGCAAAGCGCTTGCTTGAGGGATAGAGCCGAAATCCAAAAATTTAATATTGAAGTCACTGTTGATGTCTGTGAGAAAAGAAGCTAATTTGGAAATGCGTACTATAATTGTAATAAATGGTAATAAATTACATAGCTGAAATTTGATATAAATGTGAGGTATGTGAGGTTGAGATTAAAATGCATCCTATATTTGTACGAAAACAAGTTAAAAAGTATTAGTCGGCATTGCCGCCAGAGATATACCCCAGCCTGATTATCTAAATATATTTTGACTAGTGTAAAGGCTATTCAAACGTTTGACCCTCTATGGAGCAGATCCCGAAGGAATGGACCAATATTGCCCATTTCCTATCGGACCCAAAAATATGATATAAATATTTCGACAGATGTGCCAAGTCTAAATGGAATCGGATGTTAATTTGGCGATTTATGAGCTTCATGGGTACTCAAAATTGCAATATTTTGTGGGGGAGGTACCAGAAGGAGTGGACCGATATTGTTCATCTTAACACCAGACCTTGGGTTAATATAAATATTGGGATGTGTGAACTTTGAAGACAATCGGACTCTTACATCACATTTTATGAGAGTTGTAATTATTCAAAATTTTGACCATTTGTGGGGGAGGTACTTGATGGAGTGGACCGATATTGTCCATTTCCACACCTGCCCTAGCACTGACGCAAATATTAAGATTTGCAAAGTTGGAGCAAATTCGGATTAGCCTTTCTCTTTCTGTGCAAAAAATATGTTTTTTTTTTTTTGAAAATTTCGACCTTTTATGGGGGAGGTACCAGAAGGAGTGGACCGATATTGTTCATCTTAACACCAGACCTTGGGTTAATATAAATATTGGGATGTGTGAAATTTGAAGACAATCGGACTCTTACATCACATTTTATGAGAGTTGTAATTATTCAAAATTTTGACCATTAGTGGGGGAGGTACTTGATGGAGTGGACTGATATTGTCCATTTCCACACCTGCCCTAGCACTGACGCAAATATTAGGATTTGCAAAGTTGGAGCAAATTCGGATTATACTTTCTGTGCAAAAAATATATTTTTTGAAAATTTCGACCTTTTGTGGGGGAGGTACCAGAAGGAGTGGACCGATATTGCCTATCTCCGAACTCGATATAAGTTTGATAAAAATATTACGATGTAGCCAATTTGGACCAAATCGGATACTCCCTTCGAGAGTTATCGTGCGCACCAGCCAGACAGACAGACAGACGGACGGACGCTAGATCGACTCCAAATGTTCTGAAACGGATTTGGTCCAAAGAGACCTAGGGTCTAAAACCGTTATTTCGACTAGGCACGTTTTGGCCGTATCAAATGATATATACCCTCTGTAGCCATATGGCTGAGGGTATAATTACTTTATGGTACTAAATTTTGGTATTGAGTGAAGGGATAGAGCTGAAATCCTGATTCGATCTATATTCGTTTTGGGTGAAGCGATAGGGAAATTTGATATTGAGGTTTCTATTGGAATCTGGAATTGAGATATGGACGTGGTTTTACAATTTGTTAAAAAATACTAAATTGTACAAATTTTAGATCACTGTTGGTGTCTAGGAGGGAGAGATGTAGATTTTTTGGATATTCGTACAAAATATTACTAAATTTGGTATTGGATAAAGGGAAATTTGAAATTTGATATTGAAGTCACGGTTTGTTTCTGTGGTTTATATTTGAGACGTTGAAAATATTTTGGACAGAAAAAAATATCTAATATCCCCCTCTGTAATCTGAAAAATGAAAGATTTTAAAGAATTTTTGGCAAAAAAGTTAAATATTTTCCTATTACTCTTTCCGAAAAAGGACCAACTTAAATAATTTATTAAACATTGAAAGTCTGAAAATTAAGTAGGATGTAGGGTAAGTGTACCAGTAGTCGGCATTTTTAGGATTTTCGCGTTTTTAATCGCTCACCATTCTGAGTGGAACATTTCAATTATTACAAAGTTAATTTATTCATAAGTTTAATAACTTTTTATTAAATTTCATAAATTTGTAGTTTTATTAAAACAATGCTTTTTTGCCAGTAGTCGGCACCACTTGCCAATTGTCGGTATGGCAAGTTCCAATAGTCGGCATACCAATTTTTTTTAACAATAATAATAAATTAATTCATTAAAATATAATATTTTTGCTTAGGTAAACTGATTCGACGTCTTTATTGTACTTTTCTTAAGAATATGAATTGTTGTGGACCTTCACAGACAAAAATTTAATTTCTATTAGAATAAATCATTTTTTCTTAGCGAAATTGTGCACAAAGATAGCTGGCAATATATTTGACGTAAACAAAATACATTTAGTTATAATAGTTTCAGTTATTTGGGCTTAAATATAAAAAGTGCCGACTACTGGGACATACCGAACTTAGGCACACTTACCCTATGAGTTTGGATTAAAAAATTTGCCAAACTGAAAAATTGTAAATTTTGAGTACTAAAAAAGCCAAACACGAACAGTTGAAACGAATCAAAAATTTTAAGGTGGGATTTTCGCTGATAAAGTAGCGGGCACTTCCTATTATTTTTATAAGAGTTGATTTGGTTAGAAATTGGGGCAGAAACCTCCAAAATACTGAAACTTTGGAGGTACCGATATATTCCATTTTCAATATCATACGTCCGAATATCAATGTCATTGCAAAATTTCAAACCTCTATCTTTCAAGAGGATGATATACAACCAGACACACGAATGGATGGACGGCGCGGGTTATTCGACATTGGGTTTTACACTAAACAGGAGTATACATTTCTAATATAGGGAGAACAATTTCAAGGTGTTACAAACTACAAATTTTTGGCAGAGAGTATAGAAATAGCCAATTACTGGCATTTTGGCCGCGAAAATCCTACGGCCAAACCCCAAAATGTTATATAACATCGTTATGTTGGTAAAGGCATATACAAAATGTTCTTTCAGTTCCATTAAAAATGTGGTACAAACCATTAAACTACTGAATAACGAGATGTACTTTTACATGGGGGCTATGCCACAATTGGTCGACCAATGTGGCCCATTGTCGAACTTGAATTGTATATCGCAAGACACATACAGGGTGGGATGAAAAAAACTGCAACCAACTTCAGACTGCTGTAATTTCTAAGCCACTCATCCGACAGCTGTTATTCCAGTTACAGCTCATTATATTTTCCAGAAAAAAATATTCGTTATTCGTGATGGAATTCAACCGTGATATTTCTTTGTGATTTCCCTGTATGTGATTTCTTTATATTTGGCTGGAAAACCACAAGTGACTATCGTTAGAGCATTCCAGCATTTAAATGTTAATAAATCATTTGTGTCTCCTACCATCGCTCGTTACCGTGATACTGGTAGCGTAGCCCGACTTAAAGGAAGTGGACGGAAGAAATCAGCAACATCAGCAGAAATGGTTCGAAAAGTAAAGAAGCGACTTGATCGAAACCCGCGTCGCAGTGGCCGAAAAATGGCTCGTGAGCTAAGCATATCGCAATATTCCATCGGCAGATATTGAAAAATGATCTCAGGGTAAAGCCATTGAAATTTCAAAAAGTGCTAGAACTTACAACGCAACAGAAAGAAAATAGACTCAAAAGAGCTAAAGAGTTGCTTTGCTTGGCTGAAAGTGGCGAGCTGCCGAATTTGGCTTTCTCCGATGAGAAAACATTCGTTGTCCAGCAGTTTGTTAACAAACAAAACGATCGTTCAGCTGAAAATGTGCACCTTCGGTTGGCCACCAAAACTCAAGCGCCGGTCATGGTGATGGTGTGGGCAGCCATAACTGCCGATGGTCGCTCTCCGCTCATATTAATCGACCGTGGCATCAGACTTTGTTGCAGTAGCCTAATTGTAGCCTAAAATCCCAACTCCTTAAAAATGCGACTTAAATACGATAACTAGATCTACAGACGGGCGCACTTGGCTCACCCAGAAAAAATACATTATAGGGCCTAACATGATAGTTACTATGAGTCTTAAAGTTCGAACATCATGTATATTATTTTGATAGAATACTAAAGCCTGAGTGCAGAATATATGTCTAAAGCTATACAAATTAATTAATGCTTGTAGCGTTGAATTTTTTTCCCAAAACAAACACCATTTTATTTCATTGACGGCATCTCATATCGAATAGAAACTTTCACTTTGGTTCCAAAAATAATTTTTGTAAATAATGGTAAATAGGTTTAAGGTTCTACTTTAAAATAATTAAAAACACCATTACAATGTACAATGATATATTCCACCCTAATATACACATAACTCATTATATAATTGAAGTGTTCTCCAAATTAATCACTAGCCCTTATTTCTATTTCTAAACTACCTTCCACTAATCATTTGTATTCACATTTTTTTTTCTATTTCCATTCCAACATTTAAGGTCAAGTGACAATCGATCTATTCATTGAGAAGGAAACCAATTTCATTGTGCTGCACATTCAGGATCTAAATGTCACAGAAAAGGTGAGTAGCTATTTATTTGGCTAGGGCCAACCTGCGACTTTTTTTTTTTTTTTTTTGATTATGTATGCCAGTATATGACAATGTAATCTTTTCACTGTAATTTCATTGAGTGGCAGGAGGATATTGCCTAATTGACAATATTAAAGAAATTCTAGGTTTAAGTATCTTCTTGAATTAAATGTGTTAATGACATCATAATTATTCCCAACAATAGATGGGACCATGGCAAAACGTTAAAGGTAGTCTCATTTGCTAACTGGAATATTGCTACCCACATCTCGTAGTACTCGACCTTGCCATTATTTTTATACCCTACACCACAAGGTGGTCAGGTGGTATACTCTACACCACAAGGTGGTCTTCGTCCGATTTGCCTTTTATTGTACACCAAACGTGTAATATCAGGCCGAATGGTATGGAATTTTGCACATACAAGCAGATTAGGCCTGAAAATAAGTATGCCAAATTATATCGAAATCGGTTCAGATATAGCTCTAGCTCCCATATATATTGTTCATCCGATTTATTATTTTTGTCCTTTGCACTCTGTAACAACAATATTTTGGGAAATATATCAAATACAGCTCAGAAATACATTTGCTAAATTTTATCGAGATCGGTTCAGATTTGGATATAGCTCCCATATATAACTTCGTCCGATTTACCTTTTATTGTGCCCCAAACGTCTAATATTTGTCTAAATGGGATGGAATTTGGCACTTACGACCGAATTGAGTCTAGAAGCTAGTATGTCAAATTTGGTGAAGATCGGTTCAGATATAGCTATAGCTTCCATATATATTATTCATCCGATATGTTATATTTGTTACCCACAACCGTAATATGCACTCCGTAACAACGATATTCAGGGAAATATATCAAATACAGCTCAGAAATATCTTTGCCAAATTTTATCGAGATCGGTTCAGATTTGGATATAGCTCCCATATATATCTTTATCTGATTTCAAGTTAATTGCGCACCAAATGGACAATGCAAGTCCGAATTTAAAAGATACAAATGCTTCGGCATATTTAGTGGTTTGAACTTTAAATTATAATTATAATCATAGCGTGTATGATGGAATTCTCCCATAAAAACTTTTAATTGTTATGCGGAGCTCTACTGAATTAGCAAAGTGGTGTAGGGTATCATAAAGTCGGGCGGTAAGAATTTCTTTACTGGTTTAAAATAAAATTTGTTTCTTTTCACATGGCGAATATTTTTTTTAAATTCTTTTTATTTGAAAACACACACCTTCCGTATTATAATTTAAAATAATTTTATTCAAATGGCTGTCTCGGCTGGCCATGGCAGTCTCGACTTGCCAATTTTTAAGCACATTATCGATTGTGTGCAGCTTTGTTACACGAAATTTGTCCTTTAAAGCGTCAATTGTCTCTGGTTTGTCGGCGTTACACATATCTTTGATGGCACCTTACAAATTATAGTCTAACTATGTCAAATCGCAGTACCTGTGCGGCCAATCGACATCAGCACTGATAACGCGTAAAACATCCTGTTAAAAGCGAATGTTACAATATTCTTCTTTGTGAACAAAAATTCATTCATCATTCATCACCTTTTTAGCTTCTGGACAAAAATCCGCACCAAGCAATGACTCGTTTTGGATGCATCGGCTTTTCAAAGCATTCGTGCGGATTTTCTGTATCCCAAATCCGACACTTTTTTACCCTCCACCATTCTATGGAGGGTATATTAACATTGCCTTTCCGTTTGTGACTCCTCGAAATATTTATAATAGACCCTACAAGGTATATATGTATATTCTGGATCAGCGTAAAATTCTATCTAGCGATGTCCGTCTGTCTGTCTGTATGTTGTAATCACGCTGTTTTTCAAACGAATTGAGATAGAAGGCTAAAATTTACATAATTTACCAGTTGACAAGTTAAGTTCGTAAATGGGCCATGTCGGTCCACATTTTCGTATAGCCCCCATAAACCGGTACCTCTCGATATTCGGTATTTTCATGATTTTAGCGACAGTATTTACCGGAATTATTTCAAATTTAATATTTAAAGTTCGTAATGGGTACTACAGCCTGTGACAAAAAATTTTGTATGCAGGTCACCGTCTTCGTATAGCCCCCATATAACGCTATCTCCCGATATTTGGTATTTTCATGATTTCAGCGACATTATTCACCGGAATTGTAACAAATTTCGTATATAAAGTTCCAAATGGGTACTTCAGCCTATGACAAAAAAAAAATCGTGTGTAGGTTCATGTTTTTGTATATCCACCATATAACGGTACATACCGATATTCGGTATTTTCATGAATATAGCGAAATTATTCATCGAAATTATTTCAAATTTGGTATTTGAAGTTTGTAATGGACACTACAGCATATAAGAAAAAATTTCGTAAGCAGATCCACGTCTTCGTATAGTCTCCATATAACAGTTTTCATTTAAGTGGTAGTTTCCGGAAGTTTTTTGAAAGTTTCTCCCAAATGGTGGACGTAATAAAAACTTAGCTGCTTTTTTATTTGTTCTTATCTACATACGGAGCTGACGGGATCTGCCTTCTTCCAAAATCGTTACGCTATTTTCCCACACATTCTGTAACATTATCATTATTTTCTAAGTAATGTCTCAATATTTCCCAGCTTTGTCCAAGCGTATACACAACCATATTCGTTCGGCGGAGAAAAAAATAATTTTTTTCTTAAATCAGCATGAGCTAAGTTTTACATGATAGTTGTTGAAATGTGCTTAATTGACAATTTTGTTAAAATTTTAATGTTATTGCTTTATGATCAAAACCTCATTTAATGCCGATTCGGCTGAGAATGCTGCATGGTAGTCTTTCAACAGAGCTGTCTTCATGCTTGTCATAGCAGTAGCAATATTATAATGAACATGCTTATTTGTCACAATAATCTATTTTCACTTCGGAAGTAAGCTGTAGTTTTGATGTGGAACCGAAAGTTTGGAATAGTTTGGTCGGGATACTGACTTTAAACTGAGAGAATGTAGGCCCAGGAAGCTCCAAAGCATATAAAGCTCATGATCGGAAATTTCACTAAATAGTACCAAAAAAACTTAGAATGCATAAATTGGTTGTGTTTAAATATGTAAACTGTCAGGCTATGGTACCAAAAACTCTATCTTCGCACATAATTTAATTTTGGAATTATAAAGCTAAGTTGGAATTAGAAAACAAGTAAAAAAGCAGTAAGTTCGGCCGGGCCGAACTTTGAATACCCTCCACCATTTGGAACGAATTAGAAAATATTCAAAAAAATAAAATCCATTGAAAATTCTGTTAAAATCTTTAAAATACCTAATATCGGAAGGTGCCGATATATGGGGGGATATACGCTATTGTGGACCTATATAGACAAATCTATGTCTGGGGGTAAAGTACTCACAAGAAACTCCTTGTGTGGATTTTCAGATAATTCCATTGAAAAATGTGGTTAACATCATCAAAATACCGAATATCGGGGGTACAGTTATATGGGGAATATACGATATCGTGGACCTATATAGACAATTCTTTTTGAGGGGGTAAAATGCCCACAAGGGACTCCTTTTGTGGAATTTCAGACAATTTTATTGAAAAATGTGGATAAAATAATCAAAATACCAAATATCGGGGGTACCGTTATATGGGGGCTATGCGATATTGTGGACCTATATAGATAATTCTCTGTCGAGGCATAAAGTACCCACAAGGAACTCCTTGTGTGGATTTTCAGACATTTCCGATAAAAAATGTGGGTAAAATCATAAAAATACCGAATATCGGGGGTACCGTTATATGGGGTATATACTATATCGTGGACCTGTATAGACAATTCTCTCTCAGGGGGTAAAGTACTCACAAGGAACTACTTGTGTGGATTTTAAGACAATTCCATTGAAAAATGTGGCTAACATCATCAAAATACCGAATATCGGGGGGCACAGTTATATGGGGGATATACGATATCGTGGACCGATATAGCCCATCTTCGAACTTGACCTGCCTGCAGACAAAAGAGAGATCTGTGCAAAGTTTCAGCTTCCTATCTTAATTCGTTTAGACTGTAGCGTGATTACAACAGACGGACAGACGGACGGACAGGGCTAAATCGTCTTAGAATTTTACGCTGATCAAGAATATATATACTTTGTTGGGTCTAAAATGATTATTTCGATGAGTTACAAACGGAATGACGAACTTAATATACCCTCCATACCTTTTTTGGTGGAGGGTATAAAAATATTTAAAACATCAGATTCGGATTATTTGCAAAAACCCACCTCTGTATATATATGGGAGCTATACCCACACCTCTACCGATTTCAATATAATTTGGCAATTTTTTTTTTTGGTACCAAATTTCGTTCCCATGTCGAATTTCATTGAAATCTGACATACGTATCGCGTTGGGTGCATCAAATATATAAAATCGGCCGAAAATATATATGGGAGTTATATAGAAATCTGAACCAATTTGAATATAATTTGGCAAATGTTTCAAATTCCGTTACACATTCCAAGTTTCATTGAAATTAGAGATAAATAGCATGTTTTGTACATCAAATAAACGAAATCAGTCTAAAATATTTATAGGAGCTGAATCCAATTCTAAATCGATTTCAATATAATTTAACAAACACATTTTTTAGACAAATTCCATCACACATTCCAAATTTCATTGAAATGTGGCTTACACATAGTGTTTAATACATCAAGTACATGAAATGGGCTGAGCTATATCCAAATATGAACCGATTTCAATATAATTTGGCACATTTATTTTTGTTTCAAATTCCATTACGCATTCCAAATTTGGAGAGTGTATCTGTAATATATCAATTGATATGTACATATAAAATCTAAATTTTGGAAAAAAAATAAATTTTTTCAAGTGGAATTTCAAAAATTTATATAGCTTATGTTACCTTTAAATTGTCGTAAACTTAGAAATTTTCAAGAAAATCTGTGCAGCGGTTTTCGAGTCCATAAATTACAAACAAACATTTTCCTCTTTTATATATATATATATATATATATATATATATATATATATATATATATATATATATATATATATATATATATATATATATATATACACCTAAGTCTGTTTTTACACGGTTTTGATATAACACGGTTTGAAAATTAAATATTTTTAATTTTTTACACTATTTTATTCCGTTTAGCACGATTTTAAATTTTATGTACTTAATTTTTTTGTCAAATTTAATTTTTGCGAAATATTTTCATATCACAAAAAGGTATTTATGAAAGAAAAAAGTCTTAAACCGTCGATAGTTATGCTATTTTATTTTTTACCTTAAAAATTGAATAACCTATTCTTTTCGTTCACAACATAGTTTTTTAGTTCCTGAACTTGCCATACATTTAACTTATATTACAGAGTGCATATCTTTTTATCATTAATTACTATGCTTGTGAAAATAAGCATTATATATTTGATTTAATAAAATAAACATGAATTTTTGTTCTTAAAAATTCTTGTTTTTCACTAATATTAATTGGTTTTAGAGATTAGGAACAAATCACCCATTTTAGTATAAGATCAATGTCTTTTTTTACACGGCTTCTTCTGGAACCAATCTACCGTGTAAAAACAGACTTAGGTATATATATATATATATATATATATATATATATATATATATATATATATATATATATATATATATATATATATATATCTATAAAAGAGGAAAATGTTTGTATGTTTGTTTGTTTGTTTGTAATTTATGGACTCGAATTGGTTGAAATGATTGGTTGAAGATACAGTCTCCAAATTTGGAATACGAAACGTAATTAGGAACAAAAATAAGTTTGCCAAATTATATTGTAATCGGTTCACATTTGGATATAGCTCCCATATATATTTTCGACCGATTTCGTTCATTTGATGCCTCAAACACAATATGAATGTTCGATTCCAATGAAATTCAGAATGTGTGGCGGAATTTGGTTATAATAATAAATGTGAAATTAGTTAAGATTTGGATATAGCTCCCATATATATATTCTCGGCCGATTTCACATATTTGACGCACCAATTTCAATGAAATATGAAAGGTGTGGCGGAGTTTGGTGTAAAAGTAATTTTTTATACCCTACACCACAAGGTGGTCAGGGTATTATGTCTTTGTGCATTTGTTTGTAACAGGCAAAAGGAAACGAGATAGACCCATAGTTCCTTTTGATGATCTACATAGAATCACTTTCTGAGTTGATTTATGCATGTCAGTCCGTCCGTCCGTCCGTCTGTCCATGTATTCTTGTGAACAAAATGCAGGTCGCATTTATTATCCGATTGAGATGAAACTTTGCAAACAACATTTGTTTGGCCCAAGGACGAACCCTATTGAAATTGGAGATAATCGGTAAAAATTTAGATATAGCTCCCATATATCTATAACTTAGTCCGATTTACTTTTTATTGTGCACCAAACGTGTAATATCAGCCCGAATAGTATGGAATTTTGCACATACAACCAAATTAGGCCTGAAAATAAGTATGCCAAATTTGATCGAAATCGGTTCAGATATAGCTTTAGCTCCCATATATATTGTTCATCCGATTTGTTGTATTTGTTACCTACAGCCGTAATATGCACTCCGTAACAACGATATCAAATACAGCTCAAAAATATACTTGCCAAATTTTATCGAGATCGGTTCAGATTTGGATTTAGTTCCCATATATATCTTTATCTGATTTCAAATAATTTTGCATTTTTAATAAGAACCATTGACCCACATCGCCTTAGGCTAACACTAAAAAACAACACAACAATTTATTTGAAATACGCTTATTACGGCGAAGTATGTTGCTATCTCGAATTCACTAATTGCAATAAAAATGCCACTCTACTTAAAAAAATTGCAGTTTCCTGCACGCTTGGTATTTGCTATGAAATAAATAAATCCAAAGGACAAACCCTTCGTGTATGCATGTCATGTTACTGCTTTTGTAATGATTTTGTTTATTAACGCATTAAATTAGTGCAATATTTTTTTTTTAATTTTTAAATTTGTTTTTCTTTATCCTACATATATTCGTAAATAAAATTTTGAATGCATATAAAATCAAAAGGGGTAGCGAAGCGCACCGGGTTCGGCTAGTATATATATATATATATATAGAAAATTAAACACTTGTTTTTTTTATTCAAACTCTGACCTCATGGTAATCGTTGTTAAATTTGTGCGGCCTATGCTAGGTATTACGCATAAATAGAAATAGTATTTTTCTTTCTTTCTTATCGGCATTCCTTATAATTTTGTTTTTAACTTTTCTTTATTATATTTTAGTTGCATGTTTGTAATCCTGCTATTGTATGAAATTGTTACTAAAACCTTGTCTCCCTCCATCTCTCAATTCATTTCAGGCCATTGTACCAATGGGCAACAAAGGTAATGCCATTAAAATTGTCAAATTCTTGGAATACCCACCACGACAACAGCTGTATATCGAAGTGAAAGATAAACTGCGAAAGAAATCCAATTACACACTTAATTTGCGTTGGTATTCAAAGCTCAACCCCGAGCCGGAGGGTTTCTATGTGGATCAATACGAAAGTTCGAATGGATTGGAAAGGTAATGTAGCTATGAAATAAAGTAATATTTCAAAAGAAGCACAGTTTCGCCAACAATTTGATATATGTATATACATAGAATAATGGAAGCCATTGAATTGTAATTAAATGGGTGACCCTTGTCCTTGCAATGATATGCAAAGTGGATTTATATTTTCAGTTGGTCTGCGTTATTTCAAGGGCAATTGCCATAAATTAATTTTTAACTAAACTATTTCTTATTCGAATAGTTTCAAATTAAATACCATTTCTATATCGTTCAGTTTTTTTTTTAAATAGAGTGTCAGATCTCAAGAAATTCAGTTTTAAAAAAATAGAGTATATTTTTATTTGTGTATAAAGTACCAGCAAGGAACGTACGCCACAAAAAATACACTTTTGAAATGTACAACCGTTGGCTTAATTTAATGTAATTAAAGGAAGGCGCCTGGTAATATTTTTTTGGTCCATTCGTCGTGCCGATTCGCTGTCATATGTGAATTGAATATTATATCACCGTTTACTGAACATCAATGACACGACATTAAATACCATAAGGTTAGTCATTATTAAATAATGGGTTTATTATGTTATTTTTACCCTATTTTTACAAAACAGGGTATTATAAAAAATTGCTTACTAAACTCCCACCAAAATCCAATAAATTAGTTAAGAGGTTGAATTTGCAATATTCTGACTAGAAGCTGGGTACGTCACATACTCACGACGTGCACACTCTGTTACTTATTATTTTGTAAGATAAAAACCAGTAAGGAAAGCTCAAAAGTCGGGCGGGGCCGACTTTATGATACCCTACACCACTATGCATATTTAGTAGAGCTCTCGTAAAAAGGTTTATACAGGGCATTTCAGAGCTCTATGAGATATTTGGTACAAAATCAAAATCTATCTAATTCTATCGTGCATTTTACGAACTATAGCTATCTCTGAACCAGGTTTCTCCAAATTTTACGTATTAGCTTCTAGACTGGTGATTTGGGCTGATATTGACCATTTAGTGCACATTTAACCCGAAATCGGATGAAGATATATATGAGAGCTATATCCAAATCTGAACCGATTTCGATAAAATTTAAAACAGCTATTCCTGTGCTCCATCTAATACCTGGTACCAAATATCACGGTTGTGGAGTGAATATTACGAATGTATGGGACTAAAACTCTAAATCGGATGAAACATATATATGGTTGCTATATCTATATCTGAACCGATTTTCACTAAATTTGATATACTTGCTTTTTGGCTGAATTTGGTCCGATGTACTAAAATTCAGTCCATTTGGACTTATATCGGCCATTTGGTGCACAATTAACCCGAAATCGGATGAAGATATATATGGGAGCTATATCCAAATCTGGGCAACAGGTATGTAGTTGTCATTATTTTTGGCCTATTTGGCAAAGCAGAGAGACATGCAGACATTTACATCCCAATTTTTTTTACTGCTTTACACAAATTCTCAAATTCCGCAACAACGTTTTTCCTTTTATTCAATCACACCAATGCAGTGAGAATGCCTTTTATAGATATTTATGATCTGTGGAGGGGATGGGCTTCACAGGAATGAAAAATTACCTGAATTTTGGTACATCCCACTGAATTCAGTCTAGGGGTTTTAAGTCCCTCATATTTGGTACCGGATATCACTGCACACTTATTTCGGAGCTGTATCTGATATTTGGTATCAAAGATCATTGTTGTGGAATGCATATTAAGCTTGTGAGGGAATTTAAACCCAAAATCGGATAAAACATATATATGCGAGCTATAGCTATATCTGAACCGATTTTCACCAAATTAGAAGTACTGGTTTATAAGATGAATTCTGTCCTAATTGCCAAGATTCAGTCCATTTGGGCTTATGTCAAAATCAGTTCAGATTTGGATATAGCTCCCATACATACATCCTCAACCGATTTCGGGTTAATTGTACATCAAATTGCCAATATGTGTCCAAAAGTCCTGAATTTTGGTACATCCGACAAATTCAGTCTAGAAGCAAATAGATCGAATTCGGTTATAGCTATAGCTTCCACATATATGTTTAAGCCGATTTGGTGTTTAAGTGTCTCACATTCGACAACAATGATATTTGGTACCAGATCTCATAAAGCTCGGAAATACCTTTGCCAAATTTTATCGAGAAGTGCTAAGATTTGGATATAGCTCTGGATATATATCCTTAATCGGATTTAAGTTTTATTGTGCAAATAATGGCTAATGATCAGCCCAAATTGAGTGAATTTCGGGACGTACGTTTCCATTATGTGCAACTCGGCTCCGATATATTTTAATACCCTCCACCATACTATGGAGGGTATATTCATTTTGTCATTCCGTTTGTAACTCATCGAAATAATGATCTTAGACTCAATAAAGTATATATATTCTTGATCAGAGTAAAATTCTAAGACGATAGGTCTACGTTTTCATATAGCCCCCATATAACTGTACCTGTCAATATTCGATATTTTGATGATTTTAGCGACATTATTCACCGGAATTGTTTCAAATTAGGTATTTGAAGTTCGTAATGGATATTACAGCCTAAGACAGAAAATTGTCTGTGCAGGTCCACGTCTTCATATAGCCCCCATATATAGGTACCTCCAGATATTCGGTATTTTGACGATTTTAGCGACATTATTCACCGGAATTGTTTCAAATTAGGTATTTGAAGTTCGTAATGGATACTACAGCCTAAGACAGAAAATTGTCTGTGCAGGTCCACGTCTTCGTATAGCCCCCATATAAATGTACCTCCAGATATTCGGTATTTTGATGATTTTAGCGACCTTATTCACCTGAATTGTTTCAAATTAGGTATTTGAAGTTCGTAATGGATACTACAGCATAAGACAGAAAATTGTCTGTGCAGGTCTGCGTCTTCGTATAACCCCCATATAACTGTACCTGTCAATATTCGGTATTTTGATGATTTTAGCGACATTATTCGCCAGAATTGTTTCAAATTTGGTGTTTGAAGTTCGAAATGGACACTACAGCTTAAGGCAGAAAATTGTCTATGCAGGTCCACGTCTTCGTATATCCCCCATATAACGGTACATCCCGATATTCAGTATTTTAAGGATTTTACAGCCAGAGACAGAAAATTGTCTGTGCAAGTCCACGACTTCGTATAGCCCCCATATAACAGTACCTACCTATATTCGGTTTTTTGAGGATTTTAGCGACATTCTTCACCGGAATTGTTTAAAATTTGGTGTTTGAAGTTCGAAATGGATATTACAGCCTAAGGCAGAAAATTGTCTATGCAGTTCCAGGTCTTCGTATAGCTTTTATATAACGGTACCTCCCTATGTATGGTATTTTGAAGATTTTGGCTACATTATTCACCATAGTAAAAATGATCTATGTTCGACCAGGTCGACTTTTAATGCCTTTCATGAAGAAATAGAGAAAACCTTTGTAAATAAAATAATTGCAATTCAATGTTCGTAGAATTTTAAAAATACTTATCTTTCTCTATCTCTTCCGCAGGCCTTCAATAAAGGGAAAGTCAATCGCCTATAGAGAAATGACTTTTTTAAAACGAAAACTTTTCAAATTTTTTCTATAGAGAAAAGAGCTTTCAAAGTGTTGTTATTAAATATTCAAACGAAATGTGTTTTAAACTGTAAATGTTAGTAAAATCGTTTGGAGAATTCGATTGTCTTAAATCTTAAAAAAAAAATGAGAGAAAAACTGAATGAAAGCTACATTTAGATGGGTGCTATAAACAAATCCGAAGAAAATGTGGACAACATTGTCAAAATACCGAATATTCGAAGGTATCGATGTATGAGGGTTATTTCAAAATATTGAACTCTATAGACAGCGTTGTATCAGCACAATTCTAAATATTGTGGCGGATATGTGGATAATACCACCAAAATACCAAATACAGGAATGTACCGAAATATGGGGGCTATAGGTAAACGAACGCCGATATAAACAGTTATTTTCGTAATAGGTACCTTTTGCGAACATCAAATACAAAAACGTATATACTTTCGTTAGAGAAACACAGTTAAAATACGTAATATCGTGAGGTGACATTAAATGTGGTCTATAGGAATACGTATAGTCTATGTAGACAATGCCCCCCCATTATCTATGAACTCTAAATATCGAGTTTAAAACAATTCTGCTAGAAAATGTAATTAATTAAATTAACTGTTTTTGTTATTTTCTAAAACTTCTTTTGAAAAAAGCTCTTAAGAGTACAACTGCATAACATTTTATGACTACTTTTAGTTTTGAAACGTATACGGTCTTTATCCCAATTTTATTTAATGTACGTACTCTTTTTGCAGATTATTGGCTGCCACAGTTTTTCGGCCGAATGGAGCACGAAAAGCATTTCCTTGTTTCGATGAGCCTCACATAAGAGCACCCTTCCGAGTTTCAGTATTCCGCGATCGCTTCCATATTGGTCTCTCCAATTCCATAGTCCATACAACAGAGGATGTGGGCTTTTACATGGGTACAGGGTTGGTAAGTAATGCCATTTTATCTCGAAATAAACCAATATTAAATCATTTTGTTTTCTCTTTCTCTTCCTCCTTACGCTCAGTTACGTGATGACTTCATAGAGACACCACCACTGCCAGCCGATGCTGTGGCTTGGGTTGTAAGTGATTTCCAGCGTGAGTCATTGCAACCCTCGGCTGCCTATTTACCTGCAACACAAGCTCCGCCATCAAGTGGTAGTGGTCGTAAATCCGGCCAACTGAGTAACTATACCCTGCAAAAGGATAAAAAGCCACCGGTGCGTAACATCACGGCCCTGACGCATTCATTGAATATCAACATTTTGGGTAAAAATCACACCACCACAACAACAACAACTACAGCTTCCCCCAAGGATTTGGATACCAAAAATTTAACAGCCCTTAGCCAATCGACACGCTCAAGTATTACCCGAGCACCGTCGTACACTTTTTATGCTCCGCGAGAATTACTGCAAAGATCTTCCTTTATACTGCATACGTCACGAGATGTTTTGGAATATCTTCAGACATGGTTGGAGGTCAGCTACCCGTTGACCAAAGTGGATTTTGTGGCATTGCCATCGTTGGATAGGAATATTATCTCGTCGTTAGGTTTGGTCACTCTGAAGACATCTTTTCTCACGGAACCGGAATCCATTACAACGGTACAATATCAAGAGAGTGCCCTGTTGGTGGCAGAGGCCATTGTTAGACAGTTTTTCGGTGGCATAACTTCGAGGAAAATCTTGAAGGATGTTTGGTTGTGGGAGGGTCTTATTAAATATTTGGGTATCCACACCTTATCGCCGCTGCAAGAAAATTGGCCGCTGAGAGAAATGTATTTGTTTAACATGGCCACAGCTGCTCTGGACATTGATGCCATCCAGGGTTGGGACAGCATCATGAATGGCACCAGTCATGATGGCAACAACGAGGATTTCTTTATACAAAAAGTGAGTTTTGGAGAGTTCTTGTTGAAATGTTCCTATTTTGAAATAATATCGACTTTTCTTTTAGACTGCCGCCATATTTTCCATGTTACATACGGCTATAGGAGAAGATCGTTTCAGAAGTTGCTTGGGAGGTTTTCTAAAATTGAATCGTTTCAAAACTGCCGAACCCCTGGATTTGTGGAATATTTGCACCAAGAAAGCCAATGGTGCAAAAAATATAAAGGTAAGAGACTTATTTCGGAGCAAAATAATATTGAGGGACCTCCAGGCTATTTTTGAAACTTTCAGTATGAGACCTATGAGGGTTTTTTTTTGTCAGCAGAAGACCTTTGCAGAGTCCGATGTCTATAGATATCCACCTGAAGAGTTTCTGACTACAAAGACCATTTAAAGTTTCAATGCCCACAAAGACCCATGAAAGACATCTGGACTTTAGAAAAACATGCGTTTTCTGTCATTGTTGATCCTTCCATTGACATCCACGGCGAAAAATTAATTATGACTTGTATAGAGAGATGACTTTTTAAAGAGAGATAGCTTTTTAAAGCCAATATCATTGAAATATATTCTATAGCAAAAAAACTTCTGGTCTTCTATAATGATCGGATCGTACAAAAGTATTTAATAGAGGGAGCCACTTTTAAAGGAAGATAAGATCTATTAAAGTTTTTTCAGCAGTGCGAAGATATCTTAGATAGAGAGAGAGAGAGAGAGAACAATTACAACTCTTCCATACACAGAAGACCTATCAAAGTTTCTTAACAGTCATAAGATCTTAGTGCAGAGACTTTCCATGATCCTTTATAAGGGAAGCATATTCTGGAGAAGTTCTTCCACTTCCCTTCATATACAGAAGCCATTTAACAGCAAACCTAGCAAAAGTTGTTCGTAGACGAAGACCTCTGAAGTATCCTTCAAAGTTTTCTTTGTAGAGAGAGGTTTAAAATGGCTACTAAAGATAGAAAACTTAAAAAGGCCTTCCAAAGACAATAGTCCTTTCAAGGTCTTTTACACAGAGAAGTCCTTCCAAGTTTTTCTAAGAGAAGATCTTCTAATGGACAGCAGAGCTTCCAAATGTATTTAATAGTCAAAAGATCTTTCATGGTCTTCTACAGGAAGATCACATTCTCTCACATTCCTATAGGGAGAAGTCCTTCCACTTTCCTCTATGGGCAGAAGAGCATTGTAAAGACAAAGCCTTTCATAAGCAGAAGACCATTTCAAAATTGTCTACATGCAGGCGATCTTCCAAGATCTTCTACAGGAAGATCACATTCTCTCACATTTCTATAGAGAGAAGTCTTTCCACTTTCCTCTATGGGCAGAAGAGTTTTCCAAAGACGAAGCCTTTCATAAGCAGAAGGCCATTTCAAAATGTTCTACATACAGAGGACATTTGAAATGTCTTCTATAGACAGAAATGTCTTTTTCAGAGAGAAGAGCTCTTTCAGTCTCCCATAGACAGTTTTAACTAAGACCTTCCAAGATCTTTTATACGCAGAAGACTTTCACAGGTATTCTATAAAGAAATGACTTTCTAAGTTCTTCTGTACATCGAAAAAAGGTATTTTACAAAAAGTAGACCAAGACCAAGATATTTTATGGAGAAAAGACCGTCCAAAGTGTTCTACACAGAAAAGACCGTCCAAAGCAAAGGTCTCTTATATAGAGAGAAGATTTTTTAAGGTTCTCTATACAGAGAAGACCTTTCAAGGCCTTCTATAGAGAGAAGATCTTCCAATAGTCTTCAAATTTGCAAAAGTTTCCTAGAGACAGAAACCCATTTCAAAGTTTCCCAAGAAAATAATCATGTTAAAAGTTTCCTATAGTCGGAATACCTTGTTCTGTGTATTGAAGAAAAGTCTAAGGTTATAGAAGAAAAATATTCTGCCTATCTTATTAGAGGAAACCTTGGAACTGTCTTCCCTTTTATAGTGAAATTTAAAAGAAAACCATAGCAATACATTATCTCTATAGAAGGCCATTTGAAATAAGTTGTGCCTTAAAAAGAAACCTTCGAACTTTGTTGCTCTCAGAAATATATTTCCAAGATTCTGTCTATAACATTATCTATTCGAAGATGAAGGTCAGCTATGTATCTAATACCGTTTAAAGTCCTTTGGAAAATCTACTGCCCCTATAAGATCCCTCTGTCAATAGAAAACTTTTTTATGGTCTTGCGTTTATAGAAGACCTTTCTTTTTAGAAGTTTCACTTCATTGAATCACCCTTTTCTTTCTTCCTCCAGGACATGATGTCACTGTGGACACACCAGCCAGGTTTTCCCCTGCTGACCGTAACGAAAATGGGCAATCGTATTACCATATCACAGAAACCATTCAAACCTGCCGAATTTTTAGCCATTCATGATGATACCTATGATGGTAATAATTACAACAAGACCACAGCGAATTCCACAAATGGCACAACAACATCAACAACGCCGACCCCAACAACGGCCAGCGGTAAACACAAGCCTCCGCAACAAATGAAATGGATTTTTCCCATAACCTATGTAACAGATATTAACAACAATACGGAAACGCTGTGGATGCAGAATGTCGATGGTAAGTGCGAAGTAGAGAAAAGAAGATCATTCAAGAATAGCAGTCCACGAAAAATATTGAAACCAATATTTGGTAGGAAAAATCACCTCCCTAATTTTTGTGCTTTTCTCTCTCTCTTCCCTCCCGCAGTCAACTTTAACGTACCGGAAAGTGTTAAATGGATTAAGGTAAATGCCCGCCAGTCAGGCTATTATCGCGTGCTTTATAATGAAGACAACTGGGCAAATATCATAGAAGATATGTCAAATGATCCGGAGAAATTTACCGGAGAAGTAAGCCAATAGAAAGCCTATATTTTTGTTAATGCTTTTAATAATTTATGTATTTGTTTCTTGTTCAGGATCGCTTGGGCTTGTTGTCCGATGCATTTACTCTCTGCCATGCCAATTTGCTGCCATGTGAAATAACAATGAACCTGATTCAATATTTGCCAAGTGAAACAAATTGGGGTCCAATGGCCTTGAGTTTAAGGCATTTGGAAAAATGGCGTCGCATCTTGAAATATTCCGAATGTTTCCTGATGCTATCGGAATTTATAAAAATGAAGTTATCCACAGTTATTGAAAAGATCGGTTGGAATGATGAGGGCGATGAGGCAACAAGGTAAGAAGGAAATATAAATTTGAAATCCATTCTGCTTAGATCAAATAGATGGGGAATTAGGTTCTTTAACTTAAGATCTTGGATATAAACACCTTCAAAAAATATGTCAATAAGTGTCGATATACAATATTTTGTTATTAGGTCTATACAAAAACATGGTTCTCTATAGACCAACAATTATAGACTTCTAAAATTCGGTTAGGCGTAAAATCTTGAAATTTCACATAATGGTAGCTATTAGCGGGTTTTTACAAATTTGTACAAAGCGGTATTAAAGAGTGGAGTGAGGCAGGGCCGAACTTTTAAAAGCCTCCACCTTTGGGTAAAGGAAACATTTGTATATAAAAGTATCTGAATTCAAGCGTGTTTCATTTTAAACTTCATATTCCAGTAAGACCGTTTTGATAATGCAGTTAAACTTTAAAAAAAAAACATAAAGTGAGAAAATCTGTCTATATATAATTTTATATATCAATGATTGTTATCTACCAAAATCTGATTATCAAAATATCAAATATCGGCGAGTATCGTTATATATGCGCTATAAGGAAACTTGAAACTAAATATGCAATGTTCTGCCACCGGGCTAGAATCCATTATAAACTACATATACAAATTTTTAGACAAATCCTTGGAAAAATTTAGCAAAAACATCATCAAAATACCGAATATCGGGAGATACCGTTATATGTTCCGCCACCGGGCTAGAACCTATTATGACCCGCAAATACCAATTTTTAGACAAATCCGTGGAAAAATATGTCATCGTCAAAATACCGAATATCGGGTGGGGGTTAGAAAAAAACGTGGACCTATGCATACAATGTTTCGCCACACGAGCTGGAACCCATCATGACCTACAAATACCAAGTTTTAAACAAATCCGTGGAGCGCTCGCGTGGCGTGTATTGATTTATGGTAAAAATCTGCTTGGAATGACGCTTCAAACGCGATATGTCATTAAGCGATGTGACATCTCTGTCAAAAGTTATGGCGTTGCCAGATGGGCCCGTCGAATATGGGCAAACCTGTAGAGAGGTACCGTTATATGTGGACTATACCAAAAAGTGGATATATCGCTACTCATTTTCAATACCAACCATCCTAGACAAAATACAAATCATTCTGCCAAATTTTGACGCTACACATCAAATAGTGTGGGCTGTATCGTGATTTCAACAGACAGACGGACTGACGGACAAACAGACGGACATCGTTAAATCGACTTAGAATTTTATGCTGATTATAAATTCATATACTTTTTGGGAACCACGACGAATATTTAGGGATGTTACAAACTCAAAATTGAAATTTGGGAGTATGTATCTATTGTACAACAAGTAAAAAAGCTGTAAGTTCGGCCGGACCGAGCTTTTAATACCCTCCACCATTTGGCACAAATTTAGAAATTTTCAAAAAATAAAATCCGTTAAAAATTCTGTTAAAATTTAAAAAAAAAAATACCGAATGCCTAAAGTCATCCAAATACCGAATATGGGGGGTACCGTTATATGGGGGCTACAGGAAGACGTGGACCTGCACAGACAATTTTCTGGCATGGGCTGAAGTATCCATTACGAACTTCACATGCGAAATTTGAAACAATCCCGGTAAAAAATGCCGCTAAAATCAACAAAATACCGAATATCGGGGGTACGGTATATGGGGGCTATATGAAGACGTGGGCTATATGAAGACGTAAGCCTATATGGCCCATTTTCTGTTTTAAGCTGCAGTATCTATTACGAACTTCAAATACCAAATTTGGAACGATTCCGCCAAATAATGTCGCTAAAATCATCAAAATACCGAATATAGGGGGTACTGTTATATGGGGGCTATACGAAGACGTGGACCTTCACAGACAATTTTCTGGCATGGGATGATATTACGAACTTCAAATACCAAATTTGGAACGATTCCGTTAAATAATGTCGCTAAAATCATCCAAATACCGAATATCGGGGGGTACCGTTATATGGGGGCTATACGAAGACGTAAACCTGCACAGATAATTTTCTGTCTTAGGCTGTAGTTTCCATTACGAACTTTAAATGCCAAATTCGAAACAATTCCGGTGAATAATGTCGCTAAAATCATCAAAATACCGAATATCGGGAGGTACCGTTATATGGGGGCTATATGATAACTTGGACCTACATGGCCCATTTACGAACTTAACCTGCCTACTGGCAAAATATACATGTGTGCAAAATTTAAGCCTTCTCAATTTGTTCGAAAGATAGCCTTATTACAACAGACAGACAGACATGGCTAAATCGTCTTAGAATTTTACGCTGATCAAGAATATATACTTTGTTGGGTCTGACATGAGTATTTCGAGGAGTTACAAACGGAATGACAAAATTAATATACCCTCCATAGTATGGTGGAGGGTATAAAAAGGGTATCATTAAGTAATAAATAGTAGACAGCATAGATAGACTGGGCCATTCAAGACTTCACACATTCCAATATTCTGTAAGGATATATATGAATACTACTAACTGATGTGGAGATAAAAGATATTGGTCCACTCCTTCCGGTACCCCTCCCACATCGGATTTTAGAATAACCATGAAGCTCATAAAATGTGAAATGAGCATCCGACTCCGTCCAAACTCGGCACAATTCAATTGCTATATCAACACAAGATTTGGTGTGAACACGGAGCACTCCATCAAGTACATCCTCCACAAATGATCAACAGTTTGAATAATTACAATGGACCACGTTTTCTGGTTTCTCTCCCACAACAAAATGTTGAAGAACTATGAAATGAGTATCCTACTCCGTTAGAACACGGTGCATCTCAATAACACTTTCAAAACAAGATCTGCAGGAAAAATTGAATCTACCGGTCCACTTTTTCTGGTACCTCCCACACAAATGGTCAACATTTTGGCTACTTATATCCCTTATAGCATGCGAACATGACAACAACATGATTGAATTCGAGATCTGATGTGGCACTCGGACCATTCCTCCCCCAAAAAATAAAAACAATGTGGATTACAAATTAATCCTACAAAACTGGAAATAAATAATTTTTGCATATCTCCATATTTTTATCACTATAATACTACTGTATTAATACATCAGCCCTCTCTTTATCCTAACTCCCACACGAAAGTTCAACATTTGCCAAATAATATGTACAACTATCTCAAATAAAACGGAGGATGTAGTCGATATAGTCCAAACCTGGCACATCACAATAATTATATTATATTGTTACGAATATAACTTTAGATTTAAGTTAATTTAGATGAATTCCGTTAATTTAAGAATTTGAATTGTAACGTAAATTTCTACTACGCAGTTTATTTGAATAACTTCACAACAACAACTACTGTATAGATTTTTCTACATCCTTCCATTTCCTCTTTCATTTTCTATTTTGTTGCTGACGTACAATTCTTGTTAAACGTCATCATTGATGATCGCTTAATTCCTCTTTCTTTGTTATCCCCTCGCCTGTGTATGTGTTGTTGTTATTGTTCACTCAATGTAAGTTTGTATGTGTTCTTGTTATTGTTCACTCAATGTAAGTTTGTATGTGTTCGTTGCATTGGTAGATTGTTCGTAATCTAGGCGTTACCAGATCGCCTAGAAACTTCTGTAGCGACAGGCGAGGCTCATATAAATAGGGGAAATGGAAAGGCAGTTAGTCAGTTGTGAATCAGATCGCGAATTGAAACCGTCGAGTGAAGTAAAGTGCAAAGTAAAGTTGTGTGAATAAAATCATTGTAATAATCGTAATCCGAAAGAACCCGCGTTTTATTTGGTACGAGCTGTATTGGGAAATAAAACAACGTCTACACGGGATTAAGTAAAATCCAAGAACGTAACAATTGGTGTCGGAAGTGAGATTACGAAAATACTACGATGAAGTTTAAGGATCTACGAGTGGAAGACTTGAAGAAGGAACTTAATAAATTGGAATTGTCCTCTACTGGCAACAAGGCTGAACTACAAAAACGTCTGTTGGATGAGTTCGAGCGCCGTGGTATGAACATCGATACACATGAGTTTGACAGTAAGGATGAAGTGGATTTATCGGAAATGGGCGAATCCAACGGTGGGGAAGTCTCGTCAGTAGCTGCCAGGGGTGACGATTTCAGAGAAATGCTAGCCAAAATGTTTGAGGAAAATTTCAGAAGGTTCGAAGAAAATTCAAGAATAACGAACGAGAAACTCGAGTACATTGCAGAAGTTATTGGAAGGAGAGTGGAAACCGTGGAGGTCCAAATTAAAGAGTTGGATAAGAAAGTGCAGTCGGTTGACGAGAAATTTCTGTCCCACGACCATAGGGTTACAAATCTGGAGAAGAAAATTTCGGAACTGGAAATCAAAGGTGGTCCGGTGCGAGTTCCTGATAACACACTAAAAATCAAACCTCCTGTATTCGACGGCTCTACGTCATTCAATGTTTTCAAGTTACAGTTCGAGACAGTGGCTTCTAGAAATTCGTGGAACGACAGCGACAAAGCGGTTGCACTACTTCTGGCATTGAAGGGCAGTGCTGCTGATGTTATACAGAGTATTCCTGTCGCTTCTAGAAACAACTATGAAGATGTTATTGCTGCACTGGATCGTAAGTACGGTGGCGAACATAAACGAAACATCAACCTTATGGAATTAAGGAGAAGAGTACAGAGGGCAAACGAGACGTTACAAGACTTTGCAGCTGAGGTGGAACGTTTGGTGCTAATGACGTATCCAGGAGAGGATCACCCATTGCTGGACCGTATGAAAATCGAAACCTTTGTGAATGGCATACGTGATCCTGAGATTAAGTATGCAACATATGCGTCACCAAAAGCACCATTTTCCGAAACTGTGTCGGTTACCCTTGCCCAAGAGACGGCAAGAATAGTTGTTAAGCCCCAGACCCACAAGATTCGCCAACTGGAGACCGAAGGTTGCGAACCCAAATCTCTCGTTAACTCGATCGAAGACGCCATGAGGCGGGTAATAGAAGAGACAAAGTTAGTTGG